ACTGCTTAATTTTCACAAATTTATATGCATTAGGCAGTGTTACTTTTTTATCATTGATATACCATTATAGTTTTTATTAATATTTTGACCTAGTTTTTGATTGTATTTTTCACATTTTTATTTTTAGTTAAAGTATTAGTAAACATGAAAAACAACAAAATTACTAACATTTTAAAATAAAATGAAAATAAAAATTAATTAAAAATATTAATAAAAACTAAAAATACTGAAACTACTGCTTAAATTTTACGGTTTTTATTAATATTTTGAATTAGCTTTTCTTTTTTTTTCATTCTCATTTTAGTAAAAGTTAATAAACATTTTTAATGGTTTTAGTTCACTATAATAACCTGGCATGAGGAGAAATGGTTTATTATTGTAGGAAGTGACATCAGCAGATGTTCACTTACAGTCTCATCGTTACAGATGGAGTGAATCTGCGTCCCGAACATCACAGCAGTGAAAATGAGGAAGAGCAGGCTCTCAAAGCACAGGAGGATGAGGAGGATGACGGTCGTCGGAGGAGAGAAGGAACTGCACTCTGAGGAGAGGAAACAGGAAGCTTTCTAAACTCACCAACCAATCAGAACGCTCAGTTACAACACAAGCAGCCAATCATTTAGCAGCAAACTGAGGTAAATAAAACCCAGGCAATGAACCAGAAACAAGCACTTACTTGCCCAGTCTTCTTCAAAACAGAAGATAAAATTGACAGCGACCATGATGAGAGCATGAAGAGAAATCAAAGCAATGTACATCTGTAAAAACACAAGAAACTGTTTATTTATATACTAAAATAATTGTTATAAATTTAGAATTTTTATTTTAATATTTTATATTTTTATAGTTTACAGTTTTAGAAATTTTGCTCTTTTGTCATGTTTATTACTATTATTATGTTAAATATTACAACTTACAGTAGGTGTAATTTATTTTTATTTCAGCTTTTACTTTTTTAGCTTTAGCTTATTTCCAGTTATTAATTTTACTGCTTTAACCTATTTTAGTTAGTTGCCAAGGCAACATTTATAATTTCAATTTAAAGTTTGTCATATAACATATGACATACATAATTATGAAATAAATGAATATATCATTTTGAAATAAATAATTTTATTTAATTTTTCAAGTCTTTAACCGTTTTAGTTAACAAATAACTCTGCCACAAAATAAAGTGGAAATCATGGTTATTTGAATTTATCAATGTGTGTTTTGTGAGTAGTTGTGATCAGACTTATTATAGTTACCTAAAACTAAAACCATAAAAAACTTGCATTTTACTTATAATGTTACTTGAAATAAAATAAATATTTAACTGAAATAAAATCTAAAAAACCTTAACCCTAAAAACCATCTAGTTTCCAAGGCAACTTGTACTAAAATATCTAAAACTAAAATTTAAATAAAAAGGAATAAAAACTATATAGACATTAAAAATGAAGAAAAATGTCAAACACAAAACAAAATTATTAAATAAATATTAAAATATTACATTTTAAAACATTAAATTATATATTACATTTTTACATTACATATAATATGAAAATGAAAACAAAATTAAAAAATGAAATCTATTTCAAAATATTAATAAAAAAGTATCTTGATGATACTAAAACAACTTGAAACTCACAGTGAAAAGCACAAAGTATTTTTGGTTGCTCTCTCCCACACAGTTGTTGACCCAGGGACAGTGATGGTCCATCTTCTTGATACAGCGCTTACACACACTACACAGAGAAAACACACACTTACAATGAGACATTTGCAGGAAACTGCCTCGGAATTTAACCTCACACAGTGATGATTCAGTTCTCGATGCTGTGTGTGTGCGTGTGTGTGTGTGTGTGTACCTGCAGTGATGTGCTCTATCAGGTTTGATGCTGCAGCATTTGGGACATTTATACACCACCTGTCCAGGCTTGAGCTGCAGACTCTCGATAAACTCTTTAGTGGCGTTTCCCTTTGGAACGGCTCCCTGAGAGGAAAGAGAGAGTCAAAACGCCAGCTCCAGATGTGTTGTAGCCATTAAGCATTAAATGATAAATCAGTTTCATGTTCAGAGTCTTTCAGTCAGTCATTGGTAGTTTGACACTGGCAAAAATAGATCTGCCACCCGACATGTCAATGTCTGCAATTTGCTGCAATTCTGTAACTGAAACGTGACTCATTCACACCAAAATAGAGAGATAGATAGAGAGATAGATAGAGAGATAGTTGTGGAGTAAATGCCACTATTCTAATAGAATTAGAGCAATTATTAAAATTTGATTATAATTATAGTTATCTCTCTTGGTGTGAATGGGCCTTAACGCTGGATATGTGACCCTGGAGCACAAAACCAGTCGTAAGGGTCAATTTTTCGAAATTGAGATTTATACATCATCTGAAAGCTGAATAAATAAGCTTTCCATTGAATGTATGGTTTATTAGGATCGGACAATATTTGGCCGAGATACAACTATTTGAAAATCTGGAATCTGAGGGTGCAAAAAAATCTAAAAATCTAAAAAGAAAATCGCCTTTAAAGTTGTCCAAATGAAGTTCTTAGCAATGCATATTACTAATCAAAAATTAGGTTTTGATATATTTACGGTAGGAAATGTACAAAATATCTTTATGGAACATGATCTTTACTTAATATCCTAATGATTTTTGGCATAAAAGAAAAATCAATAATTTTGACCTATACAATGTATTTTTGGCTATTGCTACAAATATACCCCAGCGACTTAAGACTGGTTTTGTACTCCAGGGTGACATATGTGTTGCTTCATGTCTGATTAGGACTATTGCATGTGTGTTTTACAACTGATGAAGGTGTTTGGATAGACAGCGAAACGTCTTGTTTATAGTCCAGGTGATTTTAATAAAAAATTACATTTTTGGAATATTTTAACACCTGGATGGTTTGGTGTTGAATCTACATAAACTATTGCATGTGTGTGTTTGTCTCACCGGGTCGGTGCACATGGCTTTGAAGTGTGACGCCAGGGCGAGGAAGGCCAGTCCGTTAAACAAGGCGCCGTTAATTAGGCTGTACACCACATTCTTTGACGGCAGCAGCATTACGAAGACGACCACAAACTCGGCGTAGAAGACCAGCAGCCACGTGATCACGCCGCACACGATGCCGCAGCTGTCCCGGATAAACCACATGTCGTCGGCCGAGTGTGTCCGCGGAGGGGGCGGCACGCAGTGCTCCGGCCGCAGATATCCTGCCTGACGCTCGATGTCCCGACTGCGACTAGCTGGGGAACTCTTCATCCTTCCCACCGGCAAACACGCTCATCCTCCTACAGACAGACAGACAGACCAACGTGAAGATCGACCTGTAGGTCACACATCAGCCAGTTCATGCATTTAGCAGACGCTTTTACCCAAAGTGACTTACAGCAGTGTTATTTTAGTATCCCTCTCTCCCTTAAAACGTACACTGCATTCAAGGTATACAGTACATTTATCAGTTCATGCATCCCAGAGAATCAAACTCATGGTCAGGGTGTCGCAGGCCTTGCTCTACTCTTATAGTTATAGGAATGAATCTGCAATCAGCTTTTAAAAGCACAGTTTTTATTACAATATTTCAATCATGTGATTGTTGACAGACATTTGAAAGCAGAGGATGCACTGTCAGCATATTTAAAATAGATAATGACCATTAAGAAGCAGGGTTATTACAGTTCACTGAAACTAAAACCATAAAAAAAAAACACAAACAAATCATAAATAGGCTAAACTCTTAAACATATTTAAGGTAATATTTCTCAATTTCGTTTAGTTTAAGTTAATGTACTAAAATGATTAATCTGAAAGAAAAAATAATAATAATAGAAACTATATAGACAAAATAAAAAAATTAAAATGACAAGAACAAGAAAAGTACTAAAACTAACTAAAATTAAAATGGACAATAGAAAAAAAAATATATAAACAGAAAATATAAACATGAAAACTACTTTTTAAAATAATATTATTATCAATTATACTAAAATAATAATGTGTGTGTGTGCACACACTAAATAAATATAAAGGCTTAAAAGCTCAATAAATATCTGAATAGGCTCAAAAGAATATATATATAAACAGAAAATATAAACATGAAAACTACTTTTTAAAATAATATTATTATCAATTATACTAAAATAATAATGTGTGTGTGTGTGCACACACTAAATAAATATAAAGGCTTAAAAGCTCAATAAATATCTGAATAGGCTCAAAAGAATAAATAACATCTATATTAATGAATACAAAATGATCACAAGGAAATTAACAAAAGTATTATAATAACTAAATCCAACAAAATCCCTATTTTTTTCCTTCTTTATTTTTGTGACAGGGCTTTTAGATATTGTACAAAATAATTCTCGCAGGCTACAAACGGGGGAGACACTTATATATTTGTGGATAAAAAGCCTAGTTTACTTAAATCTTTAAATGTATTCAATGCAATGCTGTACACACTCACTGTGTTCTTTGGATCCTCCAGCAGCGCGTGACTGATTTCTCTGCTTCAAATGATGAATTTTCTCTCCGCTTCCACACAGGTGATGTGAGGTAGCGATGAAAAGTCAGTTTGTTGTATATATATGAGCAGGCGATTGTGTTTTGTGTAAATTATTGCTTCGGTTTCGGCAGGTGAAACGCAACAACCAGGAAGTTTCTGTTACTGGCGTCAAACACACCCAACACAGTTGCCCACTCTCCACTTCCGCTTCCGAACATTACACAATAAAAGTCCAAACGGTTTCGGAAACCATAAATTTCAATGGATATTAAACCAAGGTCGGTTTATGATTTTTGGCGTTGTTTGTGTATAAAGGTGTCAGAAGAATACAATAATTTTATCGAAACGTTTTAATAGTTCAATAAAATGTGGAAACCTTCTGTGATTAACAGGTTATATTATTTTATGTCATAGGAGATAATATGGCACGTCTTATAAATTTAAAAACAAATTATAAATTTAAAAAGATGCATGAATGAAGGAGTCGTAGGGACTTTTATGTTAGCAGTAGTGACGGCTGCGCGCGCTGCGGTTCCCCTCGAGCGCATCCGGCATCATGTCGGCGTCTGAGGTGAGAAAACACAACACACAATAAAACACACATTTACACGTGCTTGCCTTAATTACAGTGCATCTGCGCGTTTGAGGTTGTGTTATGAATGTGTATTCCCGATAGAGGATAGAAACGATGCGTTCGCTTTACACGCTTTGCTGTTTTGTTGCAGCATGCAGTGCTGTAGTTCATCAGTGTAACGTGCAGGTTTTGTGACATCTGAGTGATTAAACGCACAGATGCACTGATCTTGTCAGCAGATTTTTAAACTAATAAATGCTTTTTACAGTGTTTGCTGGTTGGTGCTGTTAAAATATTATGCATGTGAAATTTATGACCTATGATTATCAGTTCATTGTAAAAAAACAAAACAAAAAAACGTGTTGTCTTCTTTAATATTTGCCGCATCTTTCCATATTTATTTGACGTGACCCAAGTTTCTACTTTAAAACTTTAACCGAAGTTTAGCTGTTGTTCTCGGTTAAAACATCAGATTTAAAATCTGTTTTGATCATATCTTAGCATGTTGTCATTGTTTCTGGATTATATATCATGTTTAACTGTATATATTTTTTATTATGTTGATCCAGACCCCATCAGATGGGAGCTCTCCTCAATCCAAACAGGAAGGTGAGGGTATATTAGTGTTTCATTAGTAGAGATGCACTGTATATGTTAGTATTGGCCTATATTTTTTCTGTATTAGCTCATTACCTATTTCTTAGATACATTTGGATTTAATCTGCAGTACATTAAAGCAGCACTATGTAACGTTTTCTGTGTTCAAAATGTGCAAAGTGTATATAATGAGCGAGTACATCATGAATTAATCTTCCAAACCGCGTTTTTGTCTTATTCCGAATCACTACGGTACACTTATAATAAGTACTTATATTCGGACTATTGTAGCCTGGTCGGGTCGTCACCGCTGCGGAGTAACACATACCTGTGTGAATCGCCATAGACATAAACTTAGAGAAGTAGTTCCGGTTGGAATGTTCTTCCGCGGGATGTGTGCAGTTATGTTTATTAACCGCTAGAGCGCCAAAAGTTACACAGTGCTGCTTTAAAATGTTTTGTCTCCTGATTTAACTTGAACAATGTTATTTCACTATTATAAATGCACATAAAAAAAAAAAACTGGTAAAATTGTATAGATGTATAAGACTGGAAATTATCATATTGATGTTCCCATCAATAACCGATTGTATGGCATTATTAGTATCAGCCAGATTTTCTGTTGCATTTTTTCTTTCATTTATACTGCACATTTTCTCATTTCTATGCCTGATTTCAGCATATAAAATTCAAGATTGAAGCATTTGTTTTTTTTAAAAAAAAAGGAAAATTATTTTGAATACAGGCCTAAATTTCTTTATATTGTCAGCAGTTAGTAAACAAATAAATGCATTATGGTGTTTTTTTACTGTTGATTTAAAAAAATATATTGTGCATGTGAAATGTTTGACCTAATTATCAGTTCATTGCAAATAAAACATGATATCTGCGAATATTTATTCATGTTAGGCTAAACGCAGTCATATTATGAAATAGTTTACAAAAAATATCAAAACATCAATTTTTTTTTAAATCACGTTTTAAAACGATTGAACAGTTTTACAGTTTTGTAACATTGGCCTAAATTTCTGTCGATGTGTTTCTCTATTAATTTGTATTAGTTTTTTCTTTGTCTAATTGTTTTGGGTTTGTTTTGTTAGTGGAGCTGATTCCGCCTGTAAAGGGAAAACAGATGGAAGACGTGACGGGACGTCCCACCACATCCACTAAATCATTCCTAGGTGAGTCAAGCACAGGTGTGTTTTTACAGGTGCTGATGTGTTTTACAGATCAGTCTGTGATTCTGAAGTTTGGTGTCCAATAGTGCTGTCAAACGATTAATCGCATCCAAAATAAAAGTTTTTGTTTACAATATATATGTGTGTGTACTGTGTATATTTATTATTTATATATAAAGACACACACATACAGTATATATTTTGAAAATATTTACATGTATATATTTATATTAATTTAATTTATATTATACATAAATATATTTAATATATAAACACAACATATTTTTCTTAAATATATACATGCATGTGTGTGTATCTATATATACATAATAAATATACACAGTACACACATATTATGTAAACAAAAACTTTTATTTTGGATGCGATTAATCGTTTGACAACACTATTACTTTCTTACTTTTCATCATCATCACATTCAAAGTTTTTTCGGGGCTCGACAGTGCGAATGTTTCACTTGCATTTGTGGCTAAAATAGATGTGTGCAAAATGCATTTTAGATCACGTGTGCAAAGTCTCAACGGGTCCCTAAAGAAATTCTGTTTTATAATATTTAACATTATAAGAAGTCTTACATGTCATAAATGATATGATGGACATTTTAAATATCATTTTATGAGGTCTTACATGTGGCGTAATGTAATTATTAAACTTTAGAAGGCTATGATTCAATTGCATAGTTGAAACACTGCAAAACAAGAAAAATAAAATCTCGGTGATAATAAAAAAGTAATAATAATGAGTTTTTATTAAATGCTGTGTTGTGTCTCTCCTCACAGGCAGTGCTGGTAAAAGTGCCTCTCCCTCCACCTCGTCTCTCTCGTCGCTGTCATCAGCGTCCGGCAGAGCTAAAATGAGCGTCTGCGGTCCGAGCAGTAAGACGACTCCGCCCTCCTCCTCATCTTCATCACTCTCCTCATCCTCATCCTCCTCAGCTCTGTCTTCAGCCGGTCCTCCTGTTAAAGTCCACCGCGCACGCAAGACCATGAACAGACCGCCGTTCCCACAGGTTCTTTCATTTGTGATGAAAAACACTGTCATGATGCGCTCGGGTCGATTGAATAAATGGTAATTCTCCTGTGTTTCTGATCAGATGAAGTCTGTCGAGTCGATCGCAGCAGCTACACCCGAGAAACCCGTCAGCAGCGCGAAAACAGAAGCTGACGCAGGTGTGTGTTAATCGGCATTAATCTTGCATGTTCGTATTGTGCTGTGTACCTCTGTCATCAGTGGCAGGTTTGTAGCCGTTACGTGTTTTTCTCTGTATGCAGTTGTGAAGAAGCGTAAAGTGGGTTTGGACTCTGATGCTGCAGGAACTCCAGAGAAAGTCCCAACGCCGCAGACAGAGGTGAGATGAATAGCACACATTTTATAAAATGCTGGTAATGAGAAAAGATACCAGTGTTCAATAAATAAATAACAACAATAATAATAATTAGTGCTGTCAAACGATTAATCGCGATTAATCGCATCCAAAATAAAAGTTTTTATTTACATAATATATGTGTGTATACTGTGTATATTTATTATTTATATATAAAGACACACACATACAGTAAATATTTTGAAAATATTTACATGCATATATTTATATTCTTATAAACATAACATATTTTCATGAATATATGCATGCATGTGTGTGTACTTATATCTACATAATAAATATACACAGTATACACACATATATTATGTAAATAAAAACTTTTATTTTGCATGCGATTAATCGCTTGACAGCACTAATAATATTTATTGTTGTTTTTGTTGTTTTTAATCATTGTTCGTGTTATTGGTATCGTTCATCATAGCAATATTATAAAAATGCCAATGTTCAATAAATAAATAAATTATAATTATTAATATTTATTAATAATATGAATTTTAATTATTGTTATTGGTATCTTTTACAATAGTAATATGATTAAAATGTTCAATAAACAAACAAATGAACAATAACGATATTGATAATAGTAACCATCATTATTTTTTTTTAATTATTGTTATTGGTGTCTTTTAGCATGAATTAATAAATTGTTAATAATAATTATTGTTGTTGTTGTTGTTTTTACAGTTTTTGCTGTTGTTATTTTTAATTATTGGTATTGGTATCATTTATCATAGCAATATGATTGAAAGTTCCAATGTTTAATAAATAAATAATAATAATAATAATAATAATTTTAAATTAATGTTATTGGTATCTTTTAATATCGAATGAATGAATGCATAAATAAATAAATGTATTATTATTATTGCTGTCGGAGTAAATCAGATTGTCTCCAGAGTAAATGTTGTAGAGCCAGTGTTCCATAAATGTTTTCGTTAATTAATTCAGCTTAATAATTATATTTTTATTCATTAATAATAATCATAATTATTATAATAACAATAATAGTCTGCTGTATGTAGTAGTTAATTTCTCTAACTAGCCTGTTTATGACTGATGATGTGGTCATGTGTTTGTATTGGTGATCTGTAGTTCATCCAGTCAGATTTTAGAGACAGAACTGTGTGTTTTATAGTAAACAGCGACAGCTTTGATCCCACTGCTCATTATAATTAATGTAATATTAACGTACAGTGGTGTGAAAAAGTGTTGGCCCCCTTCCTGATTTCTTATACTTCTGTGTGTGTTTTTCCCAGCCTGCACTTAACGTGTCTCCAGCGGTGGGGAAGGTGGAGCCAGTTGCCACGGTGACTAAAGAGCATCACAGTGGTTGGCTGGAGGATCTGGATGAGGAGGCAGATGAGGAAGATTTCCACCTGCTCTACAACAGTTACTCTGGAGACGATCTGATTTACTCTGACAGCAAGGTGAACAGTTCACACAGACCTGAAACCACTGAAAATGAGTCTAGCGGCTGCTGCGGATCTGAGAGTCTTGTGCTTTTGTTTTGCAGTCAAATGATGGGATGGTAGAGACGCTGGAGTCGGAGCATCTGTCTGATCATGTGAGTGATTCTGACCAATGGAAGTGCACCTTATTTTCATACAGTTTCAGGATTTTTGGAAGTTTAAGGGGCCGTTCACATGTCGCGCCTAAAAACGCGTGGAAAGCGCTAGGCGCGCCTGGAAAAAATGAGCGCGTCGCACCGCGTGCGCGTCGCGACCGCGTCGCTTCCATTATGAGCGCGCAAAAAAACACGATATGTGAATGGTCCCTAACAGTTTTTTTCATTGCTTGATGCCAATATCTTGAAATTAGGGATACAATTATCATTAACTAAAATTAAAACCATAAAACATTTACTTTTAGCTAGTTGCTAAGGGAACATTTATTTTGTTTCTAAAATAACTGAAACTGAATAAACAAAAACTGAAACTATATAGATGTTTTTTTTTTTTTTTAAAGCAAAAGGTAATAAAAATGACAAAAATGCACAACAAGATTGCTAAAACTTTAATATTAAAATGGAAACAAAATATAAAAATGCAATCTAGTTCAAAATATTAAAAGAAACCATAAAAGTATATTAGTGATACTAAAATAACACTGCTAGAAATCAGGATGGCTGACATGATTATGAAAACCTGGAGATCAAAATCCTCATCCAATAATCTTGGATGACTGGAAAGTTTAGGGATTTTTGGGAAGCTCACTACAATTAATTTGTCAAAATATGTGGGAACTCTAAATAATAAATGAGACATTTAACACAATATTTAGACAAAATTCTCCTAAATATTTTAAAATTATTTTTCTATATTTATAAAAGCTTCTCGCATTGTAATTGTACTGCTGCAGTGTAAAATAAAATAATATGCTTATTAATACTCATTTTTTATTTTGCTGTGCAGTTGTACAAGTTGTGTGTATGTATGTATAGCATTTTTGAGATAATATCAAAACGAGCAGTTCTCAGACTAGTTTGATGTAAGCTACAGTGAGTGTAACGAGTTTGTCGTGTTTGTCAGAGCTCTGACTCCGATCGGCCCCTCGCTGCTTATAAGAAAACATCTGCAGAGAGAGACGAGTCGACATGGAAACGTCAGGGGAAGGGTAAAGGGAGAGACAGACCCCCCGCTGGAGGGCTGGAGACAGATAAAGGTGAGACAGACACCTGAGTGTGTGTGTGAGAGAGTGAACAGATGTGAGCAGCTGTCTCTGTGTGTCAGGTGTGGAATCCGCAGTCACAGTCACAGTGGGCAGCACTGACTACACTGAGGTTCCTCTGGACTCACTGGACATTTCTGCAGCGGACAGCCTCTCTCTGTCTCCACACGCAGGTGTGTGATGAGCTACACTGACTGTCTGAAGTTTGGAAGAGTTATGATTTTAAAGTTCATGAAAAAAGTCTCTTGGAATCATCAAGGCTGTGTTTATTTAACCAAACATACAGTAAAATCAGTAATATTGTGAAATATTTTTACTATTTAAAATAGGTGTTTTCTGTGTGAATGTTGTAAAATGTCTCTTTTTTTTTTTTTTTTCCTGTGGTCAAAGCTGAATTTTCAGCGTCCTTTCTCCAGTCTTCAGTGTCACATGATCTTTCAGAAATCATTCTAATATGCTGATTTGCTGCTCAAGAAACATTTCTGATTATTATCAATGTTAAAAACAGCTGTGCTGCTTCATATTTTTGTGGAAACTGTGATATACTGCTAGTATTACTATAAAAAAAAAACACTTTTATTCAGCAAGGAAGCATTAAATTGATCAAAACACATTTATAATGTTACAAACGATTTCTGTTTCAAATAAATGTTCTTTTGAGCTTTCTATTCATCAAAGAATTCAGAAAAATAAAATTTATCATGGTTTTCCACAAAAATAAATATGATTTTATAATAAAATATATGGTTTTATAATTTTTGCATATTTTATTTTTATTTTTTATACATGTGTTATGGTTATTATAAAATCCTTTTTTATTTAAAGCAGTGTTTCCCAACCGGGGTGCCGTCTGTCGAGAGCAGGGGGTGCCGTGTAAACAAAATCATTTTTTAATATTTTTAAATTGCTAAAATGTTCAAAAATTATATAATATCCATTTCTGATGTTGCCACTAATTAGAGATGCACCGAAATTTCGGCTGCCGAAAATGAGTTCACCGCTCAGGTTTCACTTTCACGTGGTGTGACGCTCTGCGTATTATCCCGCTCTATGCGTGTGCGCTCCGCTCAGTCGCTCCACTCGTATACCGTTCATGCTCATCATCGGAACAGCAAAGTCCACTCAAAAATTGAGCCGACAGGAAACATCGATGTAGTACAGTATTGTTTCTGTCTGCAATAGCCCTACTGTGTTGTAACATGGTGTGGTATATGGGCAACTCTGGTAACGCTGCCCTCTCATTCATTGATCTGCTAACCGCT